TGGTTGTCTGTCCCTAATTTTAATATGCATCTATGACATATACTGTGCTTAACTGTGCTTCTTCAGAAAGTGACTACCAAGCCTTGAAACAAGCCGCTAAACAGTTTTATATTTATTATAATAATACTTGGTCCTTCTATAGCCCCTTTTATTTAAGAATCTTAAAGTGCTTTGTGGCATTAACTCTCACCTGGTGCGGTAGGTCACTTTCATCCCCTTTTCAAAGAGATGGGAAGTGACTTAGTCACACCAAGCTGTGACCCAAACCCTGGGAGTCTTGACTCTCCTACTCCCTTGCTCTCACCACTATACCATATTTTCTCAGCCTAGCCTTAGAGATGAAAGCCGGAAAGCACTCTTGTAAACCTATTATTCCACTAGAGCTGCTGAGTCCAGGGAACAGACTGTGTGGCCTGTCACAGAGCTGCCCTTAGCCAATTCCAGCATGCACCATGAAAGGAGAACCACTTTTCCCACTTTCACACTATATAAATAAAAAAAGGAATCAAAACACCACTTTTTTGGCAGCAGATTGGTTTGTTCCCATCTCTTTTTCTCTCTCCCATATTGCAGCACTGCTAGCAAAGCTCATTTCTGGGCTGTTCGTCACAATACGGAACTATATGGGTAAAAAAAAAAAGAAAAAAGAAACAGGTTCTGACATCTAATCAGATCTGCCGTATTGATTTTGCAACTTTAGCTTTGGAACAAATCAGCAAAACAACCACATTATCACCCAGAATTCACTCTCCCCTGTGTAAGCTGGTTCAAAAGGAGCTCACACAAACAAACACCCCCCCCCCACCCCGAGTGGATTCTCAGATGGAAGAAGCAGGCTCGGCGGGAGGGAGGGGGGGAACACGCTCATCATAGAGGCTTCAGAAGCCACACGATTCCCATTTCCAACAAGATTAGAATTCCAGAGCAAGCCACAAAACTAATGAGCTGCCCGCACTGGAGAACAGCATTTCAATTAACCAGAGCAAGCCCCTGCTGGGGCACCCGGCTCTTTCCACAAAAAAGGGAGCTGGATAAACAGATGGGTTGTTTGTTTAGCTGGGAGGCAGGGGTGACTCTGGGCCTTGCTCCACTTTCACTAAAAACAAACCTCAACAACTGGAATTTCATGCTGGTAAAGGGAGCCAGATGGACAGCACCGGAGACTGAAGTCCACTGCTTAGGCACAAAATGGACAGGCAGGCAGTGGCATTGCAAACTTCTGCCATGCTGCTCTGCCTCGGAGAAACCAAACTGTGAGTGGGACTGGTGAGTTCAGTCCCTGTGACCCATTCAGTATTTGGCCAAGACTACAGTCTTGAAGAAGTGGAGGGGGTGGGGTTAATTTCTAGGATCATGCATGGCTTCCAGTGGAATTTGGGTCAAACCCGAATCCAAATAAAATTCACTGTTGCTTGTCCTTACGTGGAGCTGATGGGAGATGCCGACAGCAAGAAACTGAATGTGTGTGTCTGCTCAGCTTCGTCCAGGTTATTGGAGTAGGTTTCACCCCTTCTCGAGCCATGACAGAGGGAGGATGGGGGAAGAGGGGTTGGTGTTTGATGAATGACTATGCTAAGCACTTAGGCGCTTTAGTCACAGCCCATGGATGGTGCAGGCTAGTGCAAATTAACATTCTCTCCACCAATCCCATGCTTGCTACATCATCAAGAGGACTTCACAGGAGTTCAGTACTGAATCTTTCCTGATGAGACTAGCTCTATGGTCAGGGTTACCACCCTGGCCTCAGCCCTCCAACTCACTCAATATTATTCAGCACAGTCTTCACTTTAATCTGGAAAGTGAAAGGGGCTAGGCTTGGATTCTCCTTATCTGAATTCCACCCAGTGCAGCACTTGACTGATGAAGATACTATTACTAAGAGGGGAGCACAGATTATCCCAGACCCCTACCTGCTCCACACATCAGAACATTGCCAATACCTTCTAAACACTCCAGTCTGGGATTTGAACAGCCTCACTCGTCTGCCGAGGGAGGTATCACTGAGCAACAAGGCATCTAAATAGAATGGCATGACATGGGCACCAGCAAGGATGGCAGTACAGGGCAACATCCCTATCACCACTCAGTACTCTCCTGCTGCCTGTTTATGTGGGTGTGTATATATATTATAGGTAGGGTTGATAGCATGGTCCATTATTAATATTACCTGAACTTTCCTATTTTCAGTTGCTTGCAACTTTGCCAAACTTTAACAAAGTAAGTTGAAATTTTCCATACCAGTGCCCTGCCTCAGGCTGATTTTGGTGGGGGGGAGGGAGGGGAGGAAAAATTGAATTCCAGCCAAAATGGATCTGCCACATCCAAGAACCAGGCTTGGAATAATACATTGTTTTGCCCATGTTAAGTTCTGGCAACCTCTCTTTGAGAAGCTTTAGCACCCCCTATGCTTTGGAGCAGGGACTTCAAATTTGGCCTTTTCAAATCAAAGATGTGCCTTCCACTATCCCCATGAAAATCTGCCCAAATTTGGCCAAGATATAAGCCTGGGTCGGGGGAGGGGTCACAGTCTGCACATGCTCAGTAAAGACAGAGTTTTGGCAGCTGCATTTCCTGAAGATTCCATCTGCACCGTGCATGTTCATTGCAGGTCTTAGTAGGACTTTTCCTGCAGCTGCAGCTCTGGGCGGCTGCGGGCCATACCAGGTCCAGGCATCTGAACGAAGAAAGCAGGGAGCCTCTATCTCATCTGCTCTCAGTGGTCCCCCTGCTAGGCCCAGGCAGTCTGGAGGAGCAAACTGTCTGATTCCAATGCAGAGTAAATAAGAGCTGGATCTGGGAGGGCAGGGGAGAACATTAGGACAAGAGGACAGGGTGGGGGCGGAATTTGGGACTAGAGGCTGGTGGGGGCAAGAGGGAAAACTGGAAGATGAGATGGGGAGACTGGGACTGGCTGGGCAAGGGGACTGGGAGCCAGCAGGTTGGGGAAAACAGATACTGGCTGAGGAACCAGGATCGCGGAGGGACTGGCTAAGCAAGGAGACTGGGACTGAGAATTAGTAGGGTTGAGGGGAAGAATTAAAGGGTGAGGCATACAGATCTGACGAGGTTCTACGGTTTTGGGGGAGAGCTGGGACTGGCTGGGCAAGGGGACAGGGATGAGGGGTGGAGATTGGAACTGGCTAGGAGAGGACAATGGGGACTGGGACAAGGAGTGGAAGAGATAGGACTGGTACAGAAATAGGTTGAATAGGATGGAGCAGAAGGGTGTCATGGAGGGAATAGGGGAAGAGGAGTCTGTGTTCAGTCGAGCACACTCCCTTCCACAGAACTCAAGATTCTGGAGTCTCACCATTCCTCTGCTGTCAACAAATATCTGTGAAACCCTCTGGCAATGTTCACTATCCTCCTCTCGTGCTGGTCCACAGAGAGGATGATAACCTACTACTGCTATCAGTTATTCTATTAGCTCATGTGGCAAAGGCCTGTATGGTGGATCTAAAGGTTAAAACCCCGCTGATGACCCATGTGGGTGTCAATATGATGCCACACGATGGAATTTCTTCTCCCCGCCCTTTTTTTAAAAGGTTTCTCTTTTAAAAGCTAGGAAATTACACACACAAAAAGCGAGGTTAAAAGAACAGTATTAAGGTCGCAAAGTCAAGCACTCAAAATTTGAAAATGCCAGAATTAAGACTGCCTGTGCAAGCTTAATTTGACCCTCTTGTCCACATGGGTTATGCTACAGTCTTTAATTACACGACCACATGCTTCCCCTCCCCCCCCACAGGATCCCTGCCTCATTCAGTGTGCAGAACAGACAGTGCTCACTTGATGAGTAACTATTCAAGGTTTTGTTTTCTCCTCGTTGTTCAGCGTGTGGTCCCAGACCTTATTTACTGCACACTATTCAGACCCTGCTCTGAAGACAAATTTCCTCATTGGTTTTCCTATGGGGCTCATCACTGTAGTAACCAAGTGCTTCACAGATATGAATGAATTTATTTTCACAACACCACTGTGAGGCAAGTGGGTGGCATTAACCCCATTTTAGAGAGGGAACTGGGTCAGCAAGATTAAGGACAAAAGTATTCACTAATTTTGGGTGCCCAAATTGAGACACCTAGGACCTGATTTTCAGGAGTACTTAGCATTATATAGCAGTTTATATGTTCAAATCGCAATTCCCATTGACTTCAGCTGCAGCTGTGCATGTTCAGCACTTTTGCAAACCACACCACAAGATGTCAAGTCAGGCACCTGGAAAATGAGGAACAAACCATTAGTGACCCGTCTGAAAAGTCTGGTTTAAGTGACTTGACTAGCATCACATAGTAACCCTGTGGCAGAGCCAGGGATAGAATCCAGTTCTCCAGAGCAGCATTCAACTGTCTTAATCATAAGACGATCCTTTCTCTTCTTGCAGTCCCCTGCCTCGTTCACTATGCATGTTCCAACTTCTGCATGAAAGGATGCAGGGGACCTACCTACAACAGTTTCCCTCATTACACAACCCTGATTCATCCCCAGAACAGGTCCATCCTGAATGGGGCGGGAAGGGTCCTATAGAAAAAGTAATATATGATCATGTAATTAAAGTCTGTATCATAATGCAGATGTACAAGAGGGCTGAATCAAGGTTGAACAGGCAGCCTTAATTCTGGCATTTCCTAGCTTCTGAGGGCTTGTCTTTGCAACCCTAATAATGGTCTTTTAATGTAATTTTTGTGGGGGTAACATATATGCACACACACACAGGCAAGTGCTACGTTAACAAGTGAGGTAACCCAACCAACAGTGGATCAACAGGCCCCCACGGTTGGCTGGCATATGTTGTTGGTTGGCTAGCATGTCTCCTCGTGTGTGGACGTCAGGTAAATAAACCCTTCAAAGTCCACAAGATGAAACACACTCAATCCAAAAAAGAGACGTCAACCCTATTGGAGAACAGCGCCATAAGCATCACCTGCCCAGACTTTAGCAAGATGCCAGTGCATGCTGGCACAGAGGTAGGAGCTACAGAATCATGCGGTTATACTCACACTGCACGTTGAGCTGTACCAAGGCTTCCCGGGGTCTGATGTTAAAGCCATTGTACCTGGCTGTCTGACACTTATAGGTCCCGCTCATTTCTCGGCTAACACTCTCCAGGCGCAGCTTCCCATCGTAAGTCTCCACTGTCATGGCACCTGAGGGCATGGGGGCCTCCTTGTCTACCCGGGACCAGATGATGGGTGGCTTGGGCTTCCCTCGAACCTCGCACTGCAGCTCGGCCCTGGAGCCCTCCCGAACGGTGATGGTGGACTGGCCTTTGGGGACACTGATGGTTGGAGGCACTAAAAAGAAGATAAAAAGGGACTGTTTGTCAAGGTAACATCCTTCCAGCAGAGCATGAGGGAAACCTTTGAAGGATGGTTGCACTTGTGGGGAAGGATGTTATATTGGCAGCTCTGGAGACTGCAGCCCTCCAATCAAAAATGGCATTGGTAGTGCCAGAGCAATGCTCCCCATGCTCTGCCCCAGCCAATGTCAGCCATCCCTTGGAGGTTCCACCTCTAGGTGGAGAGTAGTGTTTCATCCCCATGGCCTCTGAGTGTGCCAGCACCAACAAAAAGTGCCAGCTGTGACAGGACACCTCAACTCACTTCACATACATCAGTGAACTACTATCAAACACGTTCAGTCGCTATCAGCCTAAAGCAGGCTAGAACCGATAATCTAGAGCTGGAAGACTCCACATCCTAGTCTCAATCTTTTTAGCCATTTAATTCCCCATCTGTACCCAGAAGCGGGAGGCCAAATCCAATCTCTTTATACGGGCTGGATTGGAGACAGTGGCCTACAGGCGCATGCTTCATATATTCCACTCCCAGCCTCCAGGGCCATCTCAATCCAAACTGGCCACTATTTCTCAATTTACCCTCTGCCCACGAGAAAGAGCACTGGGACGGTTTTCACACACATACAACACATAACTGTATTAAGAGCATATTTAAGATGGCTCTGGCATCAGTCTCCTTTGGTAGTGACCTCTCTATGCAACAGAGAAGTTGAGTTTTCAATTTACAGGTCCCCTGTGGGCCATGGAATCTCATCAGATGCTCTCCTGTTTGGTGTGAAGAGAGCGCTGCCCCCCCCGCCCCCCGCCAGTCAGCACCGCCAGCAGATGCTCACCTGGCGAGAGGCAATTTTCACCACAGGGAAAAACTGCAAATTGTATTTGGAAATTTTTTTTAATTAAAGCCCTCTCTTCTGAGCCTCCCACTGGAGACTGCCATCTCAGCAAATGGGGGCCTTTTTTGCTGGGTGGCAGCAGATGGCCAGGGAATGCAGAGCAGTTTCCACCTTGCTGCTTAAATACCATGACTCTGGAGAAAAACTCAATGGGTTCAAGCCAAACACGAAGTGGGGGAGGGTCTTTATTGCTCCTTAAATGCACATAGAGGGCCGGATACCCCAATGTGAACAAACCCCCCCCCCCCATTACCCAGTGTGTGCAGGACAGGGGGGATTCAGCCTGAAGGGAGGCAGGTGATGGTGCTGGTGCTTGCCCTCACTTGGCGTTCTGGCTGGGGACAGCAGCTTTACTTTCCCTGGCTCCAGAGGAGCCCAGCTGGCAGTGACTATCGCTGGGATTCCTGAATCAGCCTCACCATGTTCTCTTCCCAGTCAACCCCAATGTGCTCTGCTGGCCCTTTCTGCTCCTGCTGGTGGAAGCGGGGTTGTAGCAACTTTGGGCCACCACAGCCAGCTTCTTGTAGATTTTTTAACTCTTGAGCTGGTGCCTACATATGGGCCAGCAGATATTGTCCAGCCCTTGTAGTGGGGACAGACTCTATGATCATACAGACCTTTGCCATTTTACTCCTACAACTTTATAGCTATTACATTGTAAAGGAGCAGACTCCCCCCTGCGGTGCCTCCTGCTGGTCATTGGGGAAATTAGCTCTTATCAGCATAGAGTGCCCTCTGCAGGCCAGTGATCCGCACAGCTCTGGCCCCCATGTCCCTCACAGACCCTAGTGCCCCTTTCTCTGGGTTCTGCCCCCTGGCAGCACCCTCACATTCTGCCTCTGGGTCTCCCCTTCCTGGGGCACCCCCAACCCACTATCCCCACCTTGCCTCAGTCTGGGCTACTGCCAGTCATCACCAAGCCCCCACTCCCTGGGGCAGACTGCAGTATAAAGGCCACTCATCATAGGCAAGGGGGTTCGGACCTGCTGCCTTCCTCTGCCTCCCAGTACCTCTATAGGCCTTGGACCAGGCCCTACAGCCTGGAGAGTTGCCAGCCTGGAGTGCCCCGCTCAGCCTGCTCCTTCCCCAGCCCTGCTTCACTCCCAGTACCCTGGCTGGCAGGCCCTGCTCTCTCCCAACCTGGAGAGAGACTCCTTGGGCCTCTGGCTCACAGCCTTTTTATACGGACAGCTGAGGCCTGATTGGAGCGTGGCCCAGCTGCAGCTGCTTCCCCAATCAGCCATCCCCAGCCACAGCCCTCTCCAGGGCTGCTTTTAACCCCTTCTATTTTAGGAGCAGGGTAGCCACCCCGCTACACACATTCTATTAGCTATTGGGGGTTGGTTTTTTTGGAGAAGTATTCTCTAAACTGCACTGCTACAGCCAGATCTGGCTTACATTCCCAGCTCTGTCACTAACTCACCATGGGATCTGAAGCAAGTCATGTCGTTTTGTGCCTCAGTTTCCCCAACTGTAAAAAGAAGAGGAGCAGCATTCCCCTGCCTTCCAGGGCTGTTAGGAGGATGAATTAATTAACTTCTTTGATGCTGAAACGCCCAGTACACAGTAAGTGCTCAGTATCTCATTATCACAAAGCATCAGGGGGCATTCTCTTTGGAGCAGATTGCTAAGGATTTTTGCGGAGTAGGGAGGTTGTCAGAAAAACAAGAGCCAGTTCCAACACTTTCTGCTAAGGGCACAGACAAGGCAGGGAATCAGATCGGTCAAGGACAGGATTCAGACCAGCCAAAACTGGTTAACATCATTATGAAAAAGGAAACTTTCTGGAGCAGTTTGGAAAAATCAGGACAGATTCTGTAGCCAGTTGACTTCCCTCAGGCTCTCTCACCATTTAGCTACAGGTAGGTACAGCGTTGCTCTCAGTCACACTTGAGCAATCCCAGGGAAGGCAGTGGGACTGCACGGGTGTATCTGAAAACAGAATCTGACCTGATGTTTTGCTAGCACAACCGAAAGAGTCTTATCTGTACGTTCCAGCTCTAAAGAAATGACTGACAGATTTGGGGCTCCCACTGAAACCAATAAGAAAGTTTTGCCATGGACTCTACTGGGAGAAGGGAAAAGAGGGTGAGATTTATAGTGTCTGGGGTCCTGCAGAAAATATTCAAGAGATGTCCTGAGGATTAGAGTTAGGACACTAAACATTAAAGCTGTTTATGGGATGAAGGTTTATGAGACCCATCACACAGCTCCCACTGTACACTCCCATGGACACAAGCCAGGTCCTTCCATCTCAGTCTCTGGAAAAATATCAGAGGGAGTGTCTCTCCTAAGCCATGCAAAGAGGTGAAAGACCACTACCTCCTTCCCCACAACCACCAGCATTGGGACATTTGGTAAAATCCCATTCCCTCGCTGTTCCTTCGTGATAAGTCCTTGGCCAGGGCTTCTTCAAAACCATCTCCTTCCGAGGTTGGTTTGGGCTGCAATCTGGGCCTTCCCAATCCATAATCAGACATCTTCAGTCATGTTGTGCCTTAGGTCACTAGAAGCCTGAAACTAACCCATTGAGACTCTATATTAAAGGAAGGAACTAGCTACTTTAGAACACAACTATCCCAGCTGGGTCACTGGCCACTCACGAGACATGCCCACAGCATCCAGCCCAGCACACACAGGCTCCCGCATAAAATGTGGCATGCTGGGGCTGCTCTCTTTGGTTTAGTCCAGTCTCCTCATCAGGAACACGAGAGGGATCATCTCAGGATACTACAAGTCACACAGCATAGCTGTCATCCCAAATGGAAGGAACAAGAGCTCTTACACTTGAAATCAAGGCTCATTTGAGGGCCTTCAAGAGCTCAGGCTGGAAAGAATATGTTGGTTTCATGATTCTAATCCATATTATGACCCCCGACCCGACTCCCTCAAAGCCCCAGGCCTCTATGGAGGAGGCTCACCTGTTTCTGAAGAGATGTTCACCTCAACACTGAGGTCGGGAATGGGGGCCCCCTGGAAGGACGCAATGCACAGATACGTGCCATAATCACTGAAGCGCAGGTCAATGATCTCCAGGCTGCTGGTCACTGGTGGGAGCTCAGGGTCATTCCTAGAAACAAGCAGTCGGTCCGAGACCCTGGCTGGTTTCCCATTCTTGTACCAGAAGTAGACGACCTTCTCTTGGGGGACGGCATCCACGTGGCACGAGAGCTTCAGGTCCTGCCCTAGCTGGATGCTCTCACTCTCCTTGATCACGTCAGGAGTGATCTGGAAGGTGGCGTTCTTCATGGCTGGGATGAACACAGGTGCAAAGCCAGTTAGTGAAGACAAAATGCCCTGTGCCCAAAGGGGATTCCCATGTGAGATATCTACCCTTTGTCCGATGGGAGGCAATGGCTCCACACGCTCTGGGCAAAGGGATGCCCCAGGCCTATGCCCAAATGAGATCCCCATGTGAAGCAATGGCCCCACGCCCCCAAGGCCTGCTGTGGTGTTGCATGTCAGGACCAGGAAGCATCAGCAGAGCTGTGAAAGGACAGGACTGGAATAATCATGGGTGCTGTGAGTCAGGAGTGAGGTGCATCAGCAGAGCTGTAGGTGGGGAAGCTTGCACAGTGCCTTCTCCAGTCAGTGCTACCAGTCCCTTGCTGGAGTAGCACATTTACCCCTATTTAAATGAACAATGATGTGTGCTGGTAACCCAGAGTCTTGCCCTAAAAGTGCATGCAGTGGAAGGACGTACATCGCACCAGCAGATTCACTGTCTTCTTGGCTGGGTTCCCCACATTGTTGATGGCCGTGCAATTGTAGTAGCCTGAATCTTCCATGCGGATCCCCCAGATGGTGAGGTTACCCTCTTGAATAAGGCTGTTGTGAGGCATAGGGCTGGGTGAATGAGACCAGACCACCTCAGGCAGTGGGTCGCCACCTGTCAGGGAGCACTGCATAGTGACATTATCTCCTGGGTTCACCACCAGGGTCTCATTGACAGACAGCTTCAGAGCGGGTGGAGCTGGAAGAGAAAAATGGGAACACTAGTGAGCTCTGAGGAGACTCACACCAGCCTGGGCTTCGCTCAATTCTATCTGAATGGAGAGACTCTCAGTTTGTTCTTGAGAAAGAGTGGACCAGGCTGGGTGAGTGTGGGCTGGACATGAGTTCATTAAAAACATGATGTGTATGAATCTAGGACCCCATCAACACTGCATCTCTAACCAAGTCAGGGGACCAGGCCATAACAGGGTTAAAAGGCATAGCGTAGACAGGACCTCACGGAGACCCAAAACTGAGGACACATCAGGGGGTGTGACTGCAGCTGGGGTAGACATACCTGAGCTAGCTTGAATCTAGCTAGCTCATGGTCCCAGAGCAGAGAAGCTGCAGCAGTGCATGCTTCAGCATGGGCTAGCTCCATGAATAATTACCCAGAGTTCCAGTGGACTGAAGCACGCACTGCCCAGCTTCCCTGCTCCAGGACTGAGCTAGTGAGATTAACAACTTGCTTGGGTATGTCTGCATGAGCTGCAATGACACTTTGTGATTGCAGCGTAGACCCTGAACAGTCCAAGCTTTAGGAGTGTGGTTAGGTCCCATCTACACTGAACATTGTAACAGCATGTTAACTAGGTGCTCTGGCTCTGTTATAGATGTAGGGCCCAATTCTCCACTCCAAATCAGAACAGTAGTATTTTACACCCATTTTGCATAAGTACAATTGGCAACACAGAAGCAGTGGAGAATCTGGACCTAAGGCTTGTTGATTTTTGCTCCCAGTTCAAGTAACTGTGGCTTCAGAGGGACATTACCAGCCAAGATGACAAAGAAATGGGGAACCAGTGCCAAGTTTATTTTCACAACAACAACATCAAAATCCCCAGCACACAGGTTAATTTATTTTGCTCTTTCTGTATCAGTTTCCCCAGTCTTTAAATGGGGCCTGCAGACGCTGAGATGGAATAAAAGCTCAGCTACTTGCATTGTGGCTCCTATCTACGCTTCTGCATACCCCCTGCTGAAAATGTTGTGTAAGTCACTGCAAATATCTCTATGCCGCCTACAGAAACAGCACACCGGAGACTGAGTGGAAGTAGTGGTGGTGGGGAAAGATATGAAAATAAGAGATTCATTGAAATAGGTCATATTAGCCTTGAGGCAAGCACTCAACCTTCCCTCTGATTGCTATGGGCCTGCCAGCTCAGCCCCAAGGGATGGAAGAACAGAACTTGTCCGGATCATGAGTTCCCAAACTGTGGTACATGTGCCACTGGTGGTACAGGAGCTTGTTGAAAGTGGTATGCTGTAAAAGGGTGGTCTGTCCCCTTTAAAGGGGAGTGGGTCCCAGGACCAGCCAAGCCCTGTTTCACAATGTGGCCCCTTTAAGGAAGCAGGTATTCAAGGGAGCAGCAGAATGGGCGCAGGTGTTAAGGAAGCAGCTTAAGAGATTAGCAAAAAGAAAAAGAGGACTTGTGACACCTTAGAGACTAACAAATTTATTTGAGCATAAGCTTTCGTGAGCTACAGGTGACTCCCAGGAGTAGTAGAGGGCAGAAAGCCTAGACAGAAGAATTGCAGGGGAGCGCTGAGTTAAGAGGGGTTTCAGAGTAGCAGCCGTGTTAGTCTGTATTCACAAAAAGAAAAGGAGTACTTGTGGCACCTTAGAGACTAACAAATTTATTTGAGCACAAGCATAACATGCATCCGATGAAGTGAGCTGTAGCTCACCAAAGCTTATGCTCAAATAAATTTGTTAGTCTCTAAGGTGCCACAAGTACTCCTTTTCTTTTTGAGTTAAGAGAGGCTCACCAGAATGAGAACCAGAAGGGAGATTGGTGGACTGGGAAAGCCTGCCTAAATTAGAACCCAGCCCTAAGGAGGAGGGCTGCAGGGAGGCCTGAAGCAAGGGGAAGAAGTGTGTGAGTCCAAGGACCAAGGGAGGCTCTGTGGAATGAGGCTGGAATCTGGATACTGGTGGGCTGGAGAAGCCTGCTTGAATCATGGCACAGCCCCATGAAGGAAGGTTGTGTTGTTCCTTACAAAGGGAGCAAGAGTTGGGTCCAGGGACCAGAGAAGGAGGAAATCTGTGTGAAAGGTTCTTCAGAGAGGCGAAAGGCTGCAGTGAGACTGGCAGAGTTCCCTGGTTCAGGAGGAACTGAAGGGGAGCTGGGAACCTGAAGCATTGGAACCAGAATGAATTGGAGCTGGAGCTGCCTGGTGTCCAGGTGAGGTTCAGGGACCTATTGTCAATAGAAGACGACACCTTTGTATTATCTTCCACAATAATCCAAGTAAGAATTAGCAGAAACTTTGAATTGAAATGAGACAAATTAAAACATGAAGCCACCGGCTTCGTTTAGCAGCATACCAAAATATATCAGGTCATTTGACAAATGTTTTGTGTTACTTAGATTACAAGGAAGACATAATAATTGATTATTCTTTTTTATTCACGGTCTAAAAACCTGAGATGTTTAAAAAATGCTGTAATCTAACATTTCAGACTTCTGTAGGAATCTATTTTACTATGACTCTAGAAACGCTTATGCCTATTAAGGCCTAAAAGAAGTGGGCACTAAAAGAAGAAATTTGCTTGTGATATTTCAAATATCACTAAAGAAGGCTGCACATAAGCCAATTAAGTTTGGGAACTGCTGGTCTAGATCATTCATGGTCCTGTATCCCAACCACCAGCTGGTGCTAAACACTGTGGCTCCCCTCCTGGTTCTCTGCATGTGTCAAATACATGGTTCTACACTCTTGGGGTACAACCCAGATGGCCTCCCCTTTATGGCACAGGTGAACACGTTGGGCCAATTCAAAGTGCACGCGCAGCTCCTCGTCTTCTGGATGCTCACATCCTTCTGTTTGGTTTCTTTCATTCCTGCTCTCCCCAGGAACTGATCTCAAAAGCTTTCCTCTGCCTTCTCCACTTCATCTCAAGAAAGGCCCTTTAACGCCCCTTGTCAGCTCCATCGCTGGCTCCAGACAGAGCTCAGAAAGCAACCGGCGACAGCACAAAGGCTGAGAGTGCTTTTTAAGTAACGGCCATAATAATGCAAAATAAGATGTTGTTACATATTCATGAAGCCTGATTTAACAGCATCATTATTTCTGCCTCTCCTCTCCCCGGACTCTGCGTTAATGAGCTGTGCTGGATCTCTGAATTACGGCTCATACAAACAAGGCTAGGAGGGCTGCTCTCCCCTCCGTGCAGGCGGCATAACTTAGCAGCATAACTACGGCCAGAAAGCTCAGAGCACTGCAGCCTGGTGTCCTGTCTCTAACAGTGGCCAATGTCCCTCTTGTCACATGCACAGGGAGCAGCTGGCTAACTGTGCAAGTGCTATATATTTGTATGGGGGTGGGGGGTGGGGTTATCATCTTTTGCGGCCAGCCATAAGGATCAGTTTGGAGGCACAGGGTTTAATTCCTTTGATTTCTCGGGGCCATGGCTGAAGGTCAGGTCCCTTGAAGGTCTCTCAACGTGGAGTTTTGGAAAATAAATATCAAATCCAGTGTATAATAGGGAGCAAAAATGATTTGTGTATTTGCCAGTGGCAACTTTAGGCTCTGATGGGCTTCACACATCCAAAGAGGCCCCTAATAGGGTGACCTGGCTCATCCTGGATGGACAAACCGCCACATGACACAGAGTACAAGACCATCCGTAAGGCTGCCCTGAGCCAAGAGACCTTTGGTCTTGTCCAGCTGATACTGAATAGTAGTCACCTCCCCTAACACTGAACTGGTCTTGGCTGGAAGTTGCTTCTCCTTGGTCAAGCTGGTAGAAGCTGCACTCATGGTCTTGGTAGAGAGTATCTCCCCCTGGGCAGACCTGGAAGGTGGCAGAGGTCAATTTCTTGAAGGAGGGGTTTTTTGGGGAGTGGGTGGAGAGGAGGAAAGGGAGGCAGCAGCGAAGCATGAGTCAGATCTTATTCGGGTTCTGGAAAGATTTTGGGCTATTCTTTTAGTTTACCTGAACTTATTTGACCAGCCCTAACTGCTAGAATCCTGTAGTTCCTGTAGTAGGGTGAGGATATGTTCTGTGCAGGGTAACTCAGAAAATATGACCTCGTGGGGCAGCTGCTTCCTCAGGGCAGCTTGTTGGTGTGTGTAACCAGGAGAGGAGGAACCTTTGAAATGGCCATCAGCACATTTCAAGGCAATGCTTCTCCAGCATGAACCCAGCCCCAGCTCTGGGAGCTGAGATTGGATCACATCCTCCTCTAGTTAGCGGATGGACGATAACAATATGCAACCATTGTTATGCAGGAGATGAATCTCATTTATTTGTAACCCGTGGCGATTCCTTTTGTCCTCGGCTCAGAAAACCTGCTGGCAGAGTCTGCTGTGGAGCAAGGGGACCATTAAAAACAAAGAGTCGCTTTCAATTCCCTTTGAAGTCCAATTTGCTGCAGTAAAACTGCAGGAGAATTAACCAGCTGGGCTGCTTAACTTTTCAGAAATCAAAAGAGAAAATGTCAGCCATTCCCCAATCACAGCTGGATCCCAACACACAGGCTGCAACAAACTGGCCCATGAGACAGGACTGAGTTCTGCAGCCAGACCCACTGGTCAGCCTCAGAGCTCTAGAATCTAAAAGCATCATCAGGAAGGAGGAGGAAGAGGAGGCAGAAAACTCCTGCAAGGGGAGGATTCACATAGAGAACAGGAATTGAAACTGGTGCTGCAGACATTTGTGCTGCAACCACAACACTCAGCTGCTGCCCAAGGTAACTATCGAAGAGCCAAGCCAGGAAAAAAAAAAAAGATTCCTAACCCTCAGGGCCAAGCGCAGGACTCCCTGGCAGGGAGAAGTACAGATCTGCACCACAGACAATCAGTGGCAAGGGGACCCTGATGAATCATAGGAGCCACTTTTATAGCCAAACGGCAAAGGAGCAGCAAACAAGACGGGGAAGGAAGATTCTCTGACCTGACCCATCACTTCCCCTCAAAGGTCCATATTATTTGGATCTATAGATACTTAAAAACTGATTTCCACACACCTCTGTGCTCCCTGAGTTTTTCTCTAGGTGCAGAAGCAAAGACATCATGAATAAGGCTGTTCAGAATTCTGGACACAGCCAATGCTACAAGGAAGTTACTAATGCATGAGCAGAAGAGGGGAGGAAGAGATTTATGCAAGATCAGAGAGAATCTAAAAAATTATTCACACATATACAGAGAAAGACTTTATATTTGTGTGTGTATAAATATGAATACATATCTATATATAGCAAGAGAGCTACACCCATCTACTGTGTGGGCCAAATGTTGATGTGGTGCAAGTAGCTAAAAAGTTGAGTCAATATAGCCATGTACTGCACATGTACTGGTACCAGATCTGATCAGTTTGAAAACCCTGCTTTCTTGTTCACTCAATAAAGGGGCTGAAATGAAAAGAAGGATGCTTTCTTTGCATTTATCTGGGGACCGTGGTTCTGAAGAGGAATGAGATTCTATAAATCTATAAACATATCGTCTCAGAAGTCAGAGCTAGAAAAGCTGTATGAGACCCCATTCCCCTTGACTAGGGCTGGATTGTGTCTTATAATGAATGCTCTACTGTTCTGTCCTCTCTAGTTTGAAAGGACTCAAGTGATGGGGCTTCCACCTTTTGAGACAGTTGTAGAGATCTCACTGTTAGGAGCATTTTCCCCTAATATTTAACCTAGGTTTTTCTTTTATTAAGGTATTTAATTATTTATACATAAAAACATTTCATTGTCTCAGCCCCTAGGCTCAGTTAGATCAATAAGCATATTTTTCTACAGTATTAACTATTTCTCATCAACAGTTGGCACCATCAAGAGTTCTGCCTTCATTGTACAGAAATGACACAAGGGATGTAAACTACTTTGTATTATATTAGAGCTAGGTGAATAGTACATTACATGACATTACAGAAATTAGTTCAGCCTCTTCTTTGATCACAGAATATCCCAAAGCAAAAAAAGCAATTTTCTCATATTTATTTGTTATTTAAAATATTTGACAATTTTTTGCTTTTTAGTTTTTTATTAATCTGTTGGTTGTGACCAGCTATCTGCAAGGATTTGATATACGATATTCTGTTGTTAATTAGTCAGGACCTCTCTGAATGATCACATGATATTTTTTCTGTTCATTGACTAGATGATCACTCAAGCATTCCTGTCATGAACATTTGTGCATGTGGTTGTGAAATTTGTTTTGATATCTGCTTTCCACAGACATCTCTGCCAGTAGAACTTGATGGCTTGAGTGGTTCTGGAAAGCAGCCGCATAAGGGGTGTGAATCAGGGTGGAGCAAAGTCATCCAAATATTGTACGGAGTATTTTTAGGAAAGTTCACACAGCATTTTCCCAGATATCAACTGTACAAAAAGCAAATCAGGAAAGTTGCTTTTATTTTTCTTGGCTAGTTAAAAATCTACATAGTTCCCTCAACACCCAAATAGAGACTGTTCTCATGACATCCCACCAGCCATGGCAGCTGAGAGCTCATAAGAATTCCAAGGACTGCTGGACACCTCCTGCTCCAACTCTTTGTTTGGCTCATGCTAAGTTTTGTATTGTGGACTTGATCCCATGCCTACTGAAGTCAGTGGGAGTCTATCCACTAACTTTAATAGGTATTGGATTGGATCTCACCTCACCAGACCCTGGAAGGAGGACAGCTGATCAGCAAGCAAGAGGTGCTCAGGACCCAGAGGCATTTCTGTTGCTGCTCTCTTACCTGTTGTGTTAGTGAGCTGGAAAGTGATTGACTTGTCAAGGATGCCGCAGACATTCCGGACGGACACCTGACACGTGTAACTGGCATAATCCTGTGGCCTCAGGTTTTTCAGCTTCAGAACTTTGGTTTCACCCTGGGAATTTGGAAAGAAGGGGAACAGAATAACTGAATGATAGATGTACAACAAACAGCTTTCGGCTACAAATCTGTGATCTGATTCTGAGACGTGCTGATCAATGGGAGTTGAGACCGCCCAGGACCTCTCTGTATCAGCCCCTCATTCCTTTGTAAAAGAAGCAATAAAATGTTCGTGCTGATAATTCCAACACTAGTCATTGTCTAAATAAATTAAATAAATAAATAGAATCAGCAGCACTACCATGTAACGTGGAAGCATTACTGAGCAGCTTTATAGATAATCTCTTGTCAATTGCTGTCAGGATCATCTTGCAGGATTGAAAGGATCTTAACTACTTAGAGCTAGATTCTGATCTCGCACTGGGATATCCAGCAATAGCTCTAGTCAGTGGAGTGTCAATGTCATAAAACCAGGGTAACCAAGATCAGATTCCAGCCCTTAGTCTTTTAATACTTGGCTAAATATATGCTCAACAGTTAAACTGTAAAAATTTGCAGTAGAGGAAAGAAAGGGTAATTAAGAGAAATATTAAAAGAAATGATCAAACCTTTATTTTCTCTTTGCTCAAGATTCTAATCTCATTTACACTGGTATATTTCCAGAGTAATGACACTGTCTTTAATGGAGTTGCCCTGGATTTTTTATACAAGTGTAACTAAAATCAGATTCTGGCACTGTCAGTCACTGGCACACAGCAGAAACAGAATAACTCTGTTAAATGCACATGATATGGGTTCTGTATATTTACAATTATGGGACACGCTTATGGGAAGTTCTGAGATGCACCCCATGCACCCTCTACCTTGTATGCCTTTATGACAGTTTGCCTTTGTTCTTTTATTTTTGTAAATCTCTTTTTACAGATTTTTTAAATAAAAATCTGTAAACGTGAAAAGATATCAGCTTGACAAATCCTCCCGAGATGACTGCATGGGACAGGACATGGAGCTCACAAACATTAATATACATTGAACATGTAGTATCTGACCTGAGTGAATTAGAAGATAAATTCCTAGGGGACCAATACCCAAGTGAAAAACACTTCCCTGGAGATCCGTTGCTATGCTGCATGAACAAGGGCATTTACAATGTGCATGTCAACTAGTGATTTACACATGGTTCATATGCATCCAGTTTATTGATCAGTAGATATAGGGTCGGGTAAATGTGTATAAACCTAGATTGTAAATCAGTTTACAAAAGCATAAACTGTTAAGCCTTTAGCTCATTTGTAAAATGTCAGCCATCTAAATCTTATACTGACACCAGTGTATGTGGCCTGACTGGCTGAGAATACAACAGTACAAGTGTAGCTGAACTGTGATTTGTTAAACATGAGGCTTCTGAGTGACAAGACTGATTCTGCTATCACACCAGTTTTATATCCATGTAACTTTGCTAACTTCAATTTCTGGCTTAAGCCAGTAGAAAGAAGAGGAGAATCAGGGCACCTCTGCATAAACAGGGCAATCCTACACCACTTTCCTTCTAGCTGGCATCTGTAGGAATGACCCATGCTGGCAGGGACATCCGTTGACAGGAACCCACAGATGCAACACAGAAGAGAATTTCTTTGACATGTACTATTGTGGAGGGCACTATTCCACAGCCTAAGATCTCACCATTATCCAGTTTCTCCTGATAGTCAGCCTCAGACTCCCTGAAAAGGGAAAGCCAGAGGAGGAGGTGATGTTCTAAGGCCTGGAAATTCCTTACTGGACATTAGACAGCACTGGACTAGATGGAAAATCCCCTCAAGACCAAAGTAGCAGCACTGACCTACAATATATTTTTAAAAAAAATCTATCACAGACCCACAGGGCTGTGCTCTCTCTGTCCCTATCTCTCTTTCGGTTTTTCTTCCAACTGCCCATTTCCATGGCATGCAGGGAAGGCTTGTTACAATAAACTATGAACAATGCCTCAATAACTGAGAGCTTGCCTGGGACATGGCTCAAAAAAAAAAAAATCAAACCTGGCCAGAATCTGCTCCAGGCCCAGTTGCAGGGGCCTTGGGTTGGCAGCGAGATGTGAGGGATGAAGCTGTCCCCTCAAGAACTACCCTTTCGCCCCATCTCCTCCTCATTGCCTCATGGCATCGTTTTGCCTCATTAACCAACTTCAGCAGTGTCAGCAAGGCAGTCACTGAGGGGCGTTGAAACCCATAGCAGATTTTAGGGCACCATTTCCCAGAATGCTTTGGATGGCAGACTACCCAAGAGCATTCCCTTCCACCACCACTACAGTTGCAGAGAAGTAAAACATTGGGACTTAAGGAGCAATGTGTGGAGGGGGGAGGAAACAAGCATAAGAAAGCGTGAGGAATTTGACTTGCATATTAAGGTGGGGGGAGAGGGGGAAAGACAGAGAAACAGAGAGGAAGAGTACATGTGTATTTGGGCTGCACATGCTGCCATTCGGAAAAGCTCTTCATTATTAGCACCGTCAGTTCCAACAATTACAAACACCCATGCTTATTTCCAGACAAGAAACACTCTTCATAAATAGGAGACGTATGGTATCCAATCAGGAACAGAAACAGTGCCACATGACTTAGGGAACCAATCACATGGCCTGCTCAGTGAATCATCTCAACCATTCAAATTAATTTCCACAAACTCTTCATTTAATGTTAGGAGTAACTGACACAAACATGAAAACCCTGGCCGCTTGCAGGCAGTTTGCCAAAAGGGAAAAGGGATAAAAATCTGTTGGCTGTGAATAGTGCACGCGGCTCTCGGAGCGCATCAGCACACGTGCAGCAATGGGAGGCTAGGGGACGTGCAGCTGGAGAGATGGGAGGACAGGGGAAGAGTACCGGGGGCCTATGGACTGGATTCCATTTCTCTCTTTAAGGAGCAGAATCAAACAGAATAACCTGGCCTGGATTCCTGAGGTTTCCTGCCTAGCCATCCCTGGCTCCATCCCCAAAGAGGCTGCAGTGCCCCTTGGGCACGGGCATCATTCTGATGGTGGGACAGGAAATTACCAGCTATGATCCTCCCTCGTGCTCCACTCCTCTCTCTTTGTCTACACTAAACACTTTAGGGGAAGCTCTGCAGGCGGAGGAGTCCTCTTGACCCATCACCAACCTCTGTATTGGGAGTGTCCTTGCAATCCACACTTCTCCTACCACCCTCTCCTTAGTATATGCAACAAGCCAAGAGGGGAGAGAGAAGCATCACCCACAGACAAACTCTGCAGGGATCCTGGATTATTGGGGAACTATGGTGGGTGCCAGGAGGAGGACAACATTTCCCCTCCAGGCATGGTAGGGATGGACCCATGATGATCTTCAGGTCCTGGTGGGTGATTTGCCAACACAAGCCAGTGGTGAGGTTTGGGGGTGGGTGATGTCTCTCTCACCTGTGTGTAGAGTGGCTCATAGATATCCACTCCATTATCCTGGCTGTGGGAGAGTGTCTCAGCACCCCGTTTCCAGATGAAGCGAGCAGGAGGGTTAGAGTTGACGGTGCACCGGAGGAAGACCGTCTTCTCCTGGTAGAAGCTGCCACGTACATCGCTGATGGTCTGGTGGACGGTGAGAATGGGCTCATCTAGATCTGGAAGGGAGGGGGGGAAGGTCCGTGGGGGCCATTAGCAAGGTTCAGGCCAGGGTACGCCCAGCCTGGTGAGCAGACAAAGCTCCAGGAGAGAGGAGAAGAGGGGAGACCCCACATACACACACTCAGCCAGTGAAAACACTAAGCTAGAAGCGGACCAGACTCAAAACATGGCACCTGAAGGGAACTGATGGGAGAAACCAACCTTCTCCAGTCCACTCCACAACATTCCAGGAGCAGGAACTAAGCTCCGATTTGCAACCTCCAGCTGGCAGTAAGATGAACTGATTAGCTATCTGGCAGGACCCCAATGACATCATTCATGCTCCCAGATCACCTCCCCCCACTCCAATCTCAATCCTCTGTTCTAGCTGACAGGCAAAGGGCGCCAAACCCCAGGAACTATCCTCCCCCACCCTTGTTCCCCTCTGCTCCCACCCTTTACTTCCATGGCCTCTGTCCCCGAACGGGAAGGGATTTCTCCTGGGAAGTTGGGGCTATGTCTTCTCTTGGACATGGCCAGACAATGCAAAAAAACATGAAAAACCCTAAAGCTGAAGAGCAAATGGGAACAGACAGAAAGACAGAGATGGAGATTCATCTCACAGACAAGAAAGAGTCTGGCAGGATGTCCACCATGGGAACATGGGATGTAAGAACAGAGGAACATCTGGATGCAGCCTCTTCTCTCCCATTAAAAGTGTACCCCAAGCCCTTCTTCCTATTACCATGTGCACAGATCCTATCTCCCCTCCACTATTCCCTCCTCCCCTTATTAAAAAAGCAATGTAAATATCTTCCTTCCCTACCCCAAAACTATCCATTAGACTGTCCTCTTCTCTCTCCCCTCCCTAGAAAAAAACACCCTCCCAAGTCCTCTCTCACTTCCCCTGCACCAAAATCATGTGAATCCCAGCCCTCTCAGCGATGGGATTAACCTTTAATTTGAGAGGATCTGAAGAAGAGTCCTGCAGAGAGTTCCATTTGGGGAGCTCGCCATGCTGGCAGGCTTTGCCCACTGCAACCTTCCTGCTCGAAAGGGGCTTCTCAAACTGTGCCCCTGCGCTGTGAGGGGCTGGTGGGGGAGCAGGAAGGGGAGATGGGGCTCCCTCAGACAAAGGGGCTCCCAGACTCCAGCAGCTGGAGAACCCCTGGACTGGAACATCAGACAGCATCACCGTTGAGATTAATTGACATTCAGACCCCGTTTAAAGTTGTACTGATTTGGAGAGATGGGACCAAACTGGACCCCTGAATCTGACATGCCCACAACCCCTCTCACAAACACCCCACATTTTGAGGGGAGGGTGGCCACTGAACTTAGTGGAGTGACTCTGAATATCCCCCCCCATCACCAAGCTCAGAATCAGGTCCCAACTTGACTGTGAATGCTACATCTGAGGTAACTATCAGGTGAAACTCATGCACACTGCCTTCATTTGTGCCTCTCTGCGACTCCCTCCACCCCAGAGTCCATGAAGGGAAAGGATGCATTCCCATCACTCCTTGTTCTTACATGTCTCTGGATCTTAAAATATTGGTTCAGATGTTTGCAACTTTGGAAATCCGGCTACAGAGGGAAAAGGTTAATCACTGTTAATGCGCTCTCTGACTAGCATGCCTTCCCCACAGAGATGTGTGCATGGACCAGTCTATTTACATATTTTAATGAGGCGTGTGTTCTGAAGACAGCATTTATAATGGGAGCCAAGATTTGTTAGCCTGACAGCACCATGGCTCAGGGACATGAGCAGAACTGTTAGCTGAATGACAGAAAGAGAGAGAAGAAAAACAGAGAGATGAGACCCTTCTCTACACATGTTGTTAACAGGAGAGCTAACTGAATTTTATACTATCCTTCCCCTTTATTCATGACCCTGGGCAGAGCCTACCACCACCCCACTCCTCTATTTCCTTCCTTTATCCCTCAAGACATTAGAAGACTTGAGTTACAGCTAACATCCTTCCAGCCTTCTAATGCTTCGTCAACGGGAAGCAAGAGGGTCATTATTACAATAGATGTTCCTCCAACCCCCATGGACAGAGCACACCAACTCCCCAAAACTCCCAGCCCCCGTCCAGTTGCACTCTCCCCATGGTAGTGCAGAGCGTTATCTTCCTTTATATTCCTAGATTTCCTCCTTCAAACCCTCTTTTAATAGCTGCCAGCCCTTGGTGCAGCCCTCCTGAGAGAAGCTACAATAAGTACCAAGGAAACACATATGTCCCTGGTGCACAGTAACTCCGCTGAAGTCAATGGAGTTGCACTAGGGATACATTTAGCACTGACCCAACCGCATGGAATGCTTTAATAACAGCATCTCCCTCTTTCCATTTGTCTTCCCTTTCCCCAGCATGGAACCGCTCCAGGAAGCAGCATCCCTGCCTAGTGCAGTGAGACCTAGGAACTTTCTGCTGGCAACTGCAGCTTCCTAGATCCCCCTGCCCAGGTGGCTGGTTGGCAGCCGTTGATACTCAGCTGCACACTCCCTTGCTTTTTCCCCAAAGGAAGACTTATTTCAGTGAAAGTCAAAAGGATCGGGAGCTCTGGAAGATCTGGGTGCATACATGACATCCTACGCCCTCCATCCATGAGACTCGGCCTCTTTAGGGCTTCAGTCTCCAGGTCAGTTTAGAGCTTCCTTCTCATGAAAGCAAAATGCCTTCAGAACCAGGACTGTACATACTAAGCATGACAAGGCCAAATCCATGCCTGGTGCAACTCCCTGACTTCAGGAGAGCGACACTAAGGGTGGATGTGGCCAAAAGTGTGTTTGTGTTTTGCTCTTCCCATAAACCACTTGATCTTGATCCAAGAGAGACTGACACACCCCAGCCCTCACCAAACCAGGACAGGGAGCAGTTAGCCTCCTGATTCTGGCCCAAGACAGCGGGATCATTCACTGAAAGCTACTGTACCCTCCTTGGAACCATCTGCATGTGCCTAATGGAGCTCCCTGGGCAATCTGCAATACATCCTGCTGAATGTTCCAGAGTGCACCAGTGAGCACCAGGGCTGGTCACTGAGGACACTAAAACCAAGAGCAGCATTGAGATTATGGGGACTATTTCCAATTATGTATTAGGAGGGAGGGAAAGAAGGGTATGGTTTGAAATTCTGGCTCAGCTGACTAAAGGCTGGCCCTGGTGATCCCTCAACTGACTACCTGATCTTTCCTAACTGCTCCCTTTTTTGCATAGCAAATAGTGAAAGAAAGCGGACTCTTCTCCCAGAAAACACACAAACAAGAGATGCATTACCAAGTCCATGTGCAGAGTAGATGTTAGTATCAGAAAGCCCTTGGCCACCCCATTGGCCCCACAGTTCTAAAGGTCAGAGATGCATGAGGAACCATAGGACTCTACATCACCCTACTTCCAAACTGCACCCCAGATGCAAAGGGACCTCCCACAATTTACAATGCTCATATCAAGAGTCTTCCCACAATCCCATTCCTAAAGACACAGAGCCCAGACTAGCTGCTGTGCCAGGGGCTGAGAAAACCAAAGTTCCCTTTGTAGGGGAGCAATTAAATGCCTGAACTGTATACATGAAAGGGGAAGGGTGGACAAGCCAAGAGTTCCTAGATGGTTTGGAAACTTCTCAGAGCAAAGGCAGCTAGAATCCATGGAGAAACAGTGACCCCACCCACAGCAGGATTAGCTGCAGGAGGAGTTACATATGTCCGCTGCCTAAGTAGTAGGATGGTACTCACCCAACACTGCCCAGTGGGGTAAAGCAATGGGGCAAGATGAGGGAGGAGAGAAACTCAAACCAAAGCAGAAGGCAACAGTCAAAGCTGATTTAAAATAGGAACCTGCCCAGGCTGCAAGATACAGTTCTGGGTCCTAATTCACACAAAGTTGTGGGGGTGCTCAGGCCCATCTCTAATGTAAAACTTTACTTAATGTTTAATTAGACCCTCACAACTGAGGTCAGCGAGGACCTTGGTTTGGTGCCACCAGGATTTGAAGGGAACTGCATCAGTTGATTGCCCCATGCAATGAGCAGAATTCCCACCACACAAGGCAGCAGCTTGATGGGAGTCTGTGCTGTACTGTGCCTGCCTATTCTCCGCAAAGCAGAAAGTGTCTACCTAGTAAAGTTCCCTCAAAATTGTGCTGGGTTCCAGGTCTTTGGTCTCTCCCACAAGGGGGTACCCACCCAACAGCAGCACAACCCCATTCTAACCTTCCTCATAACTGGCCACAACAGCCCATGTATAAATGTTGCCCCCTACAAGGGGTAATAACTGGAATCTCAAAGGTGAGAGAGACCCAGGTAGAGCAATAAAAGCCCAGAGGAATTTCAGATTATATCTCTTCCTTTATGGCTTAAATTGAGGGATTCTTGGCTTCCCTCCTATGCTCACCCCTTATTTAGCCATTCACAATTCAGCCTCCTTGGGGGCATCCCAGAATCCTTTGCTCTGTTCTGACAGTGCTTCAGATGAGGCACAGTGGGAATCAGTGCAATGGTTTCTGAGGTGTTCCAGGCATCTGAGGTGGATCCAGTTTGGAGTGGAGAGCAAGTCAATGTCAAAAAGGAGAAAAATGAAAGGGAACAGAAGCCAAACAACCTCACCACCCCAGACAACCACTGGGGACCCTTGGGGGGATCATGGTCCCTTGGCTGAGAGGGGTTGGCTTAGACAGGCAAAGTCATCTTGCCCCACAAAGGGTATAACATCCCAGGGGGAAGTGTGTTCCGGAGGTACCACTTTGGTCCCTTTGTCCCTAAGGGGGTGAGCATGGTTCTAGGTTCATGTAGAGTCCTACTGGTCACACAGTTAGTTATAGACACGCAATAGAGCTGTGGGATGCTCTGGGCTGCCGCTAAATGACTTACACTGCACATCTACTCGAATGGACTTGATGGCAGGGACCCCAACCCCATTCTCTGCTTTACAGTAATAGCGGCCTCCCTGCAGCCTCTGGATCTTCTCAATCCGAAGGGTCTCGTTAAACACCGATGTCTCCTGGAATTTGTCCGAGGCACTACCAGCAGTTTTGGTCCACCTCACCTGCAGGGGAATAGGAGAGGGAGGGAGGCAAACACAGCAAAAGGCCACACAGATGGACTCAGAGCTGTGGACACAGCTTTAAGACCTCAGATTACAGCAGCACTCACCTTTGTGCCCCTCATCTGAGAAGGCAACACTCCCCACCCTTTGCCCACACAGTCAGGCACAGCTATGTTCACTGGAACCTAGGCAGGTCTAGCAGCTGATCCCAAAATGTCCCTGCCAGATGGCTGCACCTGCCCATCACCAACCCCCAACACACTTGTGCCCTGCAGTGACCCCGAAATGTAACAGCTCCTCCCATCTTGCTGTGTGTTCCCCTGCCATTAAACTCCCTCTACTATTCTCAAACGTGCATTGCATTTGCTCACTCCTGCACAAAACCTTTGCCAAACCCAGTTTGCTTAGTGCTCGCACACACAGGGCTTTCTGTGCCAATCCTTGGAGGGCAGAAACTGGCTTGCAAGCCAAGCGTACGTGGCCAGGAGGGGGGGGCCTTTCAGGCAACTAGCTCATGGCTACAAAGCTATTATCACCACTTCACTTGGCACCTTTTCATCATTCTCCAGATAATGGAGAACAAATAAACATACAGAACATATAGCAAATCTCCAGAACACAAAGACCTCGTAGTAATGGGGGACTTTCACTACCCAGACATCCCTTGGAAAAGTAATACAGCAGAACACATTTCCAGTAACTTTTTGGAATGTACTGGTGACAACCATTTGTTTCAGAAAGTGGAGGAAGTAACCAGGGGGACGGCCAGTTTAGACTTGATGCACACTAAGAGGGAAGAATTGGTTGCGAATCTGAAGGCAATTTGAATGAAAGTGATCATGGAATGACTGATTGCATGACTCTAACAAAAGAAAGGAGTGAACAAAACAATGGACTTCAAAAAAGCAAATTTTAACACACTCAAAGAACTGGTAGGTAAGGTCCCATCGGCAGAAAATCTAGGGGATAAAGGAATTCAGGAGAGCTGGTAGTTTCTCAAGGAGACAATATTAAAAGGCACAACTGCAAACTATTCTGATGCAAAGGAAAGATGAGAAGAATAGTAGTAGGCCAATATGGCTCCATCAGAAGCTCTTTAAAAAGTACCTGAAAAATTATAAAGGAATCCTACAAAAAGTGGAAACATAGATGAACTGCTAAGGAGGAGTGCAAAAGGACAGCGCAAGCAGGTAGGGACAAAATCAGAAAGGCTAAAGGGCTTGTCTACGCTTGAAACGCTGCAACTGTGCCATTGTAACAGCAATGCTGTTTAAGCGCTTCCATGCGGACACTACCTAATTCTTCCATCGAACTAGCATTGTCTACACTGGGGTTAGTTCAGCTTAACTATGTAGCTCACGAGTGTGGATTTTTCACACCCCTGAGCGATGTAGCTGGGTCACCCTAACTTTTTAGTGCAGACCAGGCGTCAGGCACAAAATGAGTTACACCTGGCAATGGACATAAAAGGCAATATGAAGAGGTTCTTTAAATAGATTAAAAGCAAGAGAAAGACCTAGGAAAGTGTAGGTCCTCTACTTGGCTGGGAAGAAGAGCTAATAACTGATGACATCAAGAAGGCTGAGTTATTTAATGCCTATTTTGCTTCAGTCTTCACTAATGGTGACCAGATACTCCATACAATTAAATATTAACAACAAGGGGAAAGGAACACAAGGCAAAACAGGGAAAGAACACGTTAAAGAATATCAGGATAAATTAGAAGTACTGTATTCAAGTCGATAGGGCCTGATGAAATTCATCCTAAGGTATTTAAGGAACTAGCTGAAGCAATCTCAGAACTGTTAACAATGATTTTCAAGAATTCATCAGGGATGGGTGAATGCCAGAGGACTGGAGAAAAGCAAACATAGTTAACCATCTTTAAAAAGAGGAACTAAGGGGACCGGGGCATTATAGACTAGTTAGCCTAAACTTCTATACCTGGAAATTTACTGAAACAAATTATTAATCAATCTATCAATCTGTAAGCACCTAGAGGATAATAGGGTTATAAGGAATAGCTATGTCAAGAACAAATCATGCCAAACCAGCTTGATTTACTTCTTTGACAGGGTTACTGGCTTAGTGGTTGGGGGAAAGCAGTAGACATGGTATATCTTGATTTTAGTAAGGCTTTTGATGCAGTTCCACATGACATTCTGATAAGCAATGTAGGGAAATGTTGTCTAGATGAAACTAATATAAGGCAGGTGCACAGCTGGTTGGAAGACCATACTCAAAGAGTAGTTATCAATGGTTTGCTGTCAAACTGGGAGAGCGAATCTACTGGGGTTCTGCAGGGGTCAGTCTTGGTCCAAATACTATTCAATATTTTCATTAAAAAACTTGAATAATGGAGTGGAGAATATGCTTATAAAATTTGAGGAGGACACAAAGTTCGGAGGGGTTGTAAGCACTCTAGAAGACAGGATTAGAATTTAAAATGAGCTTGACAAATGAGAGAATTGATCAGAATTCAACAAGATGAAACTCGTAAAAGATAAGTACAAAGTACTACATCTAGGAAGGGGAAAAAACCAAATGCACAACTACAAAATGGGGAGTAGCTGGCTAGGCAGCAGTACTGCTGAAAAGGGGTTATTGTGGATCACAGGTTGAATAGATGAGTTAACAATGTGATGCAGTTGAGAAAAAAGATACATATTTTGAGATGTATTAACAGAAGTGTCATATGGAAGACATGGAAGGTAATGATTTCACTCTCCTTGGCACTGGTGGGGCCTGGAATACTGTGCCTATTCTGTGTGCCATACTCTAGGAAAGGGTGAGGAAAAACTGGAGAGAATCCAGAGAAGAGCAAAAAAAATTATTGATAAATATAGAAAACTTGACCTTCGAGGAAAGGTTAAAAAACTGGGCATGTTTAGTCTCAGGATGACATGACGGGGGACCTAACTGTCTTCAAACATATTAAGGACTTTTATAAAGAGGACAGTGATCAATTGTTCTCCATGTCTACTGAAGGTAGGACAAGAAGTAATGGGCTCAATCTGCAGCCTGAGAGATGTAGGTTAGATACTAGGAAAAGCTTTCTAACTATAAGGGTAGTTAAGTGCTGGAATAGGCTTCCAAGGGAGGTTGTGGAATCCCTGTCATTGGAGATTTTTAAGAAAAGGTTAGACACACACCTGTCAGGGATATTCTAGGTTCACTTGTTCCTGCCTCAGCACAGGGGGCTGGACTTGATGACCTCTCAAGATCCTTCCAGCCCTACATTTCAGTGATTCTATGAATGGGGATATTTCATCTGTTTGGCTTCCAAAGTGAGAAGTGCAGCTACTGCTGTTAGCCTGTTGTCTCCCTCTCTGGAGGGGGCCCCACCAGTGTTTATTTTTGTAAGTCTCTCTTTTGTAGTAAACACACTTTAATAAAAGAAAAAGAGCCCCTCAGAATTCATTTTTGTTACATGTTTAGTCTTCAAACACCACCTGCAGATTTGTTGGTCATTTCACAGTGAACGGAGGGGCTGGAGAAACGTGCCCCAAGAGGCTGAAGTCGTATCTGTATATCCCATAAAAGGTACAGCACAGGCAGCAGCGGTGCAAGCTTCCCCCTACCCCAACCCAGAGAGCATGAAAGGAGGTCACTGCCCAGGGCCCGCTTGTTCATTTGCCTCTCAGTCTCCTTTGGTGGCTACCTCTGCTCTCAGGGTATAGCTACACTGCAGCCAGAGGCGTGACTGCAGCACTTGTACACATACCTGAGGCAGCTTTGACCTAGGTAGCTTGAACAACAATATTTGTGAAGGCATGGCCGCACATTCAGTACAAGCCCACCCAGGACTCCAGGTATGTACCTGAGTGACTAGCCTGAGCTGCCACGCATGCTGCTGCAGATTCATTCCTATTGCTTTTCAAGCTAGCTAGGGTATATCTACACACGGCACAGTCACACCTTTGACCGGGGTGCTGAAACAATTTGTATAGTGGGGGTTCTGAGAGCCATTGAACCAATCTGTAAACCCTGTATAGGATGGAAACTACTTCAAACCAGGGGGTGCGGCACAACCCCCAGCACCCCTACTTCCAGCACCTATGGAAAAGTTATTTACTTGTTCCCATAATATAAGAACTAGGGGCCACCAAATGAAATTAATGGGCAGCAGGTTTAACACAAATAAAAGGAAGTTCTTCTTCACTCAGCGCACAGTCAACCTGTGGAACTCATTGCCTGAGGAGGTTGTGAAGGCTAGGACTACAACAGGGTTTAAAAGTGAACTGGATAAATTTGTGGAGTTTAAGTCCATTAATGGCTATTAGCCAGGATGGGTAAGGAATGGTGTCCCTAGCCTCTGTCTGCCAGAGGGTGGAGATGGCTGGCAGGAGAGAGATCACTTGATCATTACCTGTTAGGTGCATTCCCTCTGGGGCACCTGGTATTGGCCACTGTCGGCAAGCAGGATATTGGGCTGGATGGACCTTTGGTCTGACCCAGTATGGCCATTCTTATGTTCTTATGCCTTTGACTGCAATACCGTAATCCCCGAAGCACCAGTTGCTATGGTGGCTTCCGGCAATCTGGACACCTAGCCCCTAGCAGCTGGGTTGAGATCCACCAGATCATTTTGCACTGAACACAAAGCAGACGGTAAAAGGACATTCATTCATGACTGACCTCACGCTAGGCAGAACTGCTGGAGGGGAGCGGGCACCTTGGTCCATGCCCACCACCAGTAGACATGGGGTTGAACTGGAGCCATTGCTCTAGAGATGGCAGGATTCTACAGTCTACTCCCCTGCTGGGCAGATTTGCTCAGCTAATGGCCGTCTGTGATGGATTCATTTAACCTTGGTAGGCTTATGCTGAGATCGTTTTAGGGCCCCAAATCTCAGAGGCTCTTGTTTGCACAGCCGCTTCAGTCAGCTCTTTAATCTTTCCCCAGCCTTTTCATTTCAACCTCGTTTAAATATCTGGGCTACACGTTAAAGCTTTAGTGAGTAACTGGAAGAAAGGGAGGAAAAAGATTAGACAAAGGCTAAGAGAAGAGCTTTGATTTGGAGTAGTGGGGGAAATGGGGGAGAGCATGCGTGGGAGTGGGGTTAAGAGAGAGCTGGGATGTGGGCATAGCTCCGTGTAAGCCAGTGTTCCATGCCTGCCTGCCCTCTTTGGACACACACGCCAGTGTCCCGTGTACACACCTGGGCTCTGCACGTGCTAGTGTTACACACAGACAGATTCTGGGGATGCCACAGCTTCTTGTGCAGCAGTGTTCTGTGTGCGCCAATGGTACATCATTGTTCCCAGTCCTGCCCGGCTCAGAGCGCCCATGAGCTGCACAAAGCCTGCAAGCTCTACATGCTCCCAGGCAGAATGGGCACCAGTTCTCTCTCCATGCCTCTATTCTGCACACCCAGGATCTGACCACTGTGCATATGATCAGCGTGCCCAAGTGCCTAGGCTAGGTGATCCTCCACAAGGACACCTGAGAGGCTCTGTTGAGTGGCCCGGCTGCCCGACATCCTGGCTCAAACTGTCTCCATCTTTTTGGTTTTTAAAAGACATTTTGTTGGCTAATTCTAACTTGAATTCCTTGGCTGAGCCGCTCTCTCCCCTTTGTCATTTCCTAGCAGCCAAGGCCCTAGAGACATGTAGCACCTGGTCAGTTAGTGCAGGGAAGGGGTGACTGGCACACACAGAACTACAGCTTATCAGCATCAGTGCCTACGGCTGGCAAGGCTGCTGCAGGGGCAGCAGGAACTGCTGAACTTCTCACTAACCCTCTTATAACCCTCCCCTGGAGAGCTTCATTCCCAGTGTAGCTCACTCCCCAGGGTTTATTCTGGCCCCGAAGGCCCAAGTTTAGCCACAGTTTTACCCATGCTCTGGGGTCATTTACACACACCAGCTGCTACGTAAGAATTTCCCTGCAGTCCTCTCACCTCTACGGCATGTGTCTGAATCCAGCTCTGGACAGCGGCAATCAAAAATTACCACCACTGGCAGCTGCTTGGCGTCCACCGTATGAAATGAGTTGATGGGTCCCAGTCCAGGTCATCATGGACAAGTGTCCACATCAGAAAAATACCCCTCCCGCAATGTTACCCAAACTGAATGATCCCCTTTGCTGGCCTGGTCCAAGAGGCCAAGGCTGAACAGGCCATAAAGGTTCGATTCCACTCCTACGTTGGTGAGGTGTGAAGGGGAAGCTTGCGCTACCCCTGTCCAAGCTGTGCCTGTCCTGTGGAGAGAGGATTGGAGTCTCTAGTGTTACCTACATCACCCTGAATTCAACACAGCCCATGTTTTTAGTTCATTCTGGCCCATTAGAATGGTAGGCGCTCTGGAGAGAGCCTTGTGCTACCAATATACAGAAACACAGGCAGAACTGGGCAATATTTCACCTCAAGTCCTGTTGCTCCCAAAACACAGTTCCCATGAGTACTCGAGCCACAGGGGAATCTCCATATGCTGCACAGTGGTAGGACTTCTAGCCTCGTTGTAGGCTGCAGCCCTAGCTCCAGAGGACACCAACTCATCCAGTATCTCTGCTCCTCAGCCCTTCCTTTCTTTTGTTACAGCTGCTGCCCAGGAAGCCAGGAGAGAAAGAGAGGAGAGGAACCTACCTCCAAAAATGTAGAAGAGTGAAGGTCATGGGGAATGGTGTCCTCCAACCACCCCCAATGTCTCCTCTACGAGGCAAGATTAGAGTGAACCCAACAGAGAACCACAGGGGTGAGGGTGACTGGCATTACAGAAAGCTTACCTGTGGTCGTGGGTGTCCGGTGACCAGACACTGCAAGACCAGCGTGTCGCCCTCCCGGATAGTGTACACTCGTTCACTGATGTTATCTTCCTTCACAACACAGGCCTGCCCAGCATGGATGATCTGGGCCTGAGCTGGAGCTGGGAAAGAGAGAACTAATTAGAAAAAGGAATGCCAGCAAAGTATAGGTGGAATCCAAGTCCTCACAAAGCTGTTGGACTTGCCACACCTCGCCCCAGGAGCAACGCAACCTCTGCTGGGCTGCAGAAGGTGAAAGCAAGACTGGAGAGGCAAGGGCATCATTGCTCTGAAAACTGGGGAATTTCCTCCCTCCCCTGGCAACAGTGAATTTAATCTAGGGGAAGAAACTAGGATTAGCAGCTCTGGAGACTGAAGACTAGAGTACACTGCCCCTCTCCGAGAGATAATGTAAGCTAGGGATCCATAGGAACCAGGAACTTCTGAACTATATTCCTAGCTCTGAGAAGGAGCGTTGTCTGGGACTGGCTGTGTGACCTGGTCAAATCAGGAGCGCTCTGTGCCTGTAGAAGAGGGATTATGATTGTGATTTACCTTGCAGTGAGGTTATGGGAGTTAATCAGCCAGTCACTCCAAAGGGCTCTGCATTGCTGTATAAGCACTGGCTATTAGTACTTATCCCCAGAACAGGTTACAGCACAGGCCACGGTAGGTACAAGTCTCCCCCATGCTGTCCCATCAACATGCCTTAGCCCTGTTCTAGAGGGATCCTCCTCTAGGGGTGAGAGAGGACTTCATTTTTTGTGGCTCCTTAAATCCTTGAGATTTCTGCTGAGACTCCAACAAGGGCCAATTAGTGACAACACTAGGAACTGAACCGAGACCACCAATGCTTTTCATGGAGGCCAATGCAGCAGCATCTGAAAGGAAAGATTTTTGGTCCCCAACCCCCCACAAAGAAGGAAGTGAAGGTGAAAGGTTCCATATCCTATTACCAATTCCTTAAGCAAACCAGTGCCTCACCCCAAACCCTAACAGTCAGTCCTGATCAACAAGAACAGGAGCCATTTCTACAAGTAGTAAGGGGGAATATATAAAAAATCTGGCTTGAGAGGACCTGCATCAACAACATGCTGAGAGCGCTCATGATCACTGCAGCAGCTGGGGAGTGTTGTATGTGACTGTGCGCGTGCCCATTGGATACCAGTGCTTGGCCAGAGAGAAAACTGCAGCCTAACTTTAAGGCATAGATAAACCTGCAGATGTTACTAGTTCAGTGGGGCATGTCTCCTTCCTGCTGCAGCACTTCCCTGTGAATTCAGCCCCTCAGCCCTACCACCCCCAGTGTAATTCAATACAGGACAACTTTGAGAGGGAAACAAAGAAAGGGCTTAAAGCAAAGAATTTTATAAAAACTCTCCAAACCAAGCACAGGGTTTGCAAGGAAACCCCGTTACACAGGCAGAGTTAAATACCAGCTTTGGCACAAAGTTTGCTGAGGTGCAGGGACTTTTTGAGTAAGCCACAGATCCCGTCACCATGCAACCACCAGGGTTGAAAAATCAAAATATTTTTAGCCAGTGCGAAATGAAAGTACTGCTTTGTGCAGCTCTAAACAGCCAGCTCCGTATTCACTAGCAGCAGAGGCCCAGGCCAGGTTGGGCTTGGACAGTGGAAAAGCGGGGTTGCAGTTGTGTTACTGAGACCAAAGTTGATGTAAGTTGGGGCAGCTCCATTGCCTTTACCCGAACTACGCTAATTTATAATAGCGGAGCTCTCACCCCCAACTGGGAAGGAGGGTTGCATTTCAATGACTGGCTACCGTGTTCCAACAGGTGACCATTTATAAAACACATCAAAGGTGAAGGCTGCAGTGCTGGAATGGGTCTGCATGCTGGGTGATCATGCCCCCTCTATCATCTTCTCTCCTCTCTCAGTCCAGTTCAATGGCAATTTATTTGCAGGATCATCAGATAAGTATTGTCCAATCAACTGTGAGCTAATAGAATCAATGCATTTATTGGAATAATATTACAGCAAATATATGGACACTCATCTCTGCCGCTCCTTCCCCCTCCTACCTATAGCGTCTGGAGAGATCTCCTGGGATAGCTCTCACAAGAGTCTTATCATTAAAAACTAAAACACTGAAACCAGGATACAAAGCTACATTGATATGACTGAGCAGATGAGAGACTTGCCTTTCCTGAAAGGATGGGGGATTATTATTCGCTAACCATGTCGGGAGAGGGGAGAAAGTGGAAGCACTTTAAAAAACAGAAAGGGCTTGGTATCTGTAAGGGTAAGCTAGCACTATGGCTAGTGAGGGGTAAGAAAAGGTGGTGCAATCTTCTCACACACAGCTCTGCCGTGTCCCCTCAGTGCTGACCAGAAGTCCTTTGCTCTGCTATTCCAGTCCTGGGCCCCCATCCCCAGCTCCAGACGTGCCAGGGCACCTCAATCCTGCCTCTGCAGCACCGACTATCAGTCACACTGATTGTGCCCAATTCTGGATTCGGGAGGAATCTCCACTGCTGATTAAAACAGAGACACCCCTCCAGCCCCAATCTCATCCCGAGTTCTCTCCTTGAAGCTGGGCTGCCTGCATTCCCACAGACTCTTCCCGTCTCGGAGCTCTTTAGCTTGTGGTAACAGCTCAGCTTCTGTCTTGTTAACTTAAATGTTTCCCTAAATTCCTCTGTGCACCCTGCTTACTGTATAGTCCAGCTCGCTTTAGATCTTCTAATTTCTGTGGCTGTCTTCTCTTTGGTTAATGCCCACTGAAGTCTCCGCTTTTTTTGCTCCTCTCTGATTAACCATTTCCCTCCTGCCAGCCCTATCTCCAAGACAGCCTCCATGGGCTAGTCTACGTGGGGAATTTTATCAGCACAGTTATACCGGTATAACTTCCCATGTGGAAACACTTACTCTGGAATAAAAGTGCCTTTTTCAGGTTAGTTTATGTTGCTCTGGAAGTGATATAAGATAAATTAGAAAAAAGCACTCATTCTGGAACAGAGTGCCCACGGGGGAGTTATACTGGTAACTACAGTGATAAAATTATGCTGGTACATTTCCATGTATACACGGTCCCTAAGACATGTTCCCTGTCCTCTGTCACTCCACAGAGCTCTCTCTAGTCCAGCGGGTTTCCATAGAGCTCAGAAGCAAGACTATATTTTTAGCTTTATTGGTAAGAATCAGTAACTTGGTTGACACAAGGGGTGCTGGAGCAGGGGGCCATGGTTCCCCACTTTTTACCAGCCATAAGGACGAAACACGGGGGGGAAAGAGGGGCAGGGCCTCAGAGAGAAGGGGCAGCATGGGAGGGGCACTGTTGAGCACCAGTGCACCCCCCCCCTGCACGGTTAGGAAGCTTCTGCTGCCCCTGGTTGAGCCTCTTTGCAGCAGGACCCCTTCCCCTGATCACAGAGAGGGGCCCTTGGGAGAGTGAACCACTGCTGCTGATAAACCCTGGTCCAAACAAAGCAGTAGACTCTCTCCTGCAGTAACAGCACTGAGTCTCCAGCAACAACAACAGTCATTTCATCTGTCCTCTAAACCCAGTTTGAGCCCAGGTCTCTAAAAGGAGAGTTCAGAAAACCAGCTGTACCATCTGCAGACGGCTTGTGAAAGCACTTGGCTACCACATAATGGGAATCTGATCAGAGAAAAAACTTTGCCATCAGTTATGTCTTGACTTCAGTGAGACAGCAGGGAGATAGCCAAGGACAAACTCTACTCTCAGTGTTTTGCAGGAAAGATATCCTAGTGGTTAAATCACAGAATTAGAAGCTGTGAGATCTGGGTTCTGATCTCAACTCTGCTGGGATGTGCTGTATGGTCTTGGGAAAGTCACTTTGTCCCTCTGTAAAATGGTCTGATGAGGATTAATTACATTTGCAAGGTGCACACATGGAAGGAATATTATTATTTCACATCATCCTGGGTCCCATGGGGTTTTTAGCACACAGAAAGGTTACAGGTCCCCAGTACAGTAGACAGGAATACCTCCCTCCTCAGGTGGTGGGACTGCATCTGTCACAATAAACAAGCTTTGTGGAAGCCACTTTCTCCTGTGAGGAACAGGAAGATAAGACTGTGAGGCAAGGGGGCTGGTGCTTGGGACTGAAGCAGTCATCCCTGTGAGAGTCCCATAAAGTATGAGCCCTGGGGAGACACAATCTATTTTGGTGGATTTCCCTAAACCTGGATGCCTCTCTGAGTGTGCAAAATGCAAAGAACCACATGAGGCAGAAAAGGAAGCGCTCCAATGTGTGCTGGAGGCGGGGGCAGGATTGTGTCCCTAGTCTTTTCTCCAAGGCTTTCAGTCTACTTTTCAATGACCGAAGCAAAGCACATCCTAATATTTCCCACTCTTGAAAGGCCTGGCCCACAGGGCGCTTGGCCTCTGCACTGAGATTTCAAACTAGCCTTTCACTTGATATATTTACACATTAAAGTGAAAGGAAATTCGAGAGGATAAAATAACTTTATGCCAGTGCAATGTACTGTACAATGTTATCACCATAATGTGGGAAGTTTATGAGACACCTGCTCTTTAGAGGTCAATTGTGTTAATAATAAGTAGCAGAGGAGAGAGGAATGGTCTTGTGGGGAAGGCAGCAGCCTGGGACTCAGGAGATCTGGGTCCCGTTCTCTGCTCTGCCACACTACTTGTGTAACTTTTGGCAAGGGATTTAATCTCTCAGTGCCCTGGTTCCCCAGCTATAAAAAGGGGATGACATTGCTTCCTTATTTCACAGAGGGGGTTGTGGGGATCAATCCATTTATGTTTACGAGGCTCAGATAGTACAATGATGGAGGCAACAGAGTAGTGAGGGCTGGGGCAGCAGAAGAAAGACACCCAGGGTGCACTCAAGGCCATGTACTACTCAGACCATACAACTTAATGGGAAGAACGCCACACTTCCTCATATTAGGTCAACATTTTCCCTCCAGACTCTATTTCATGACAGGGCCCTAAAACCAACCTGGAGGAGAGAACCTACTGGGTCAGCTGGCTGGGGTCCGGACACTGAAGAGGCTGAAGTTTTATCCAAGTCCCTCATCTTGTACCAGACAAGTGAGTGGGGCCCCACAGCTTAAGCTCCAAAGAGAAATCGGAGCTGGGTCCAAGCCCAGCAGTTCTGTCAGCTGT